ATGACGTCAGAACATAGAGTTATTCTAATGTACGCTGGAGGTTCAACTGGGGCCTGCGCCTATGCGACTTCCGGGAAGCAAATTGAGTCAAACAGCAGCCAGTCTACTTTGGCGGTGCTCCTGTGCATACGAAAACGAGCGTGTAATTTTGACTCTTGGCCAGAAAATAACATGAAACACTTTGGTTTTTAGGGTCGTACCGAATACTATGTACCTTTATTAACATTGCAAAGTGGAATTGCTTTAGTTACATCCTCTTTATCAATCGGTGAACGATGTTAAACTTGGCTGTATTTCAGGCCGAAACCTGCGACGAATCTAAGCAAATTTCCGTAGCCGCTAGCGGCTAACTAGCCACTAGCCTAATGTGCTCTTATTGTTTGCTTTTGGACGAGGCCGTATATCATCCATTTATAGGCGGTATATCACTCATGTATCATTCACCTAAGCATTGCGACTGTGATGAAGACAGGCGATGGTTCCCCAATTTCAAGCTGAATAAAAGTCAAGTACAAAAGTTGTAAGAATAAATAAACTAAAAGGATAGAGAGTTGTATTTCTGGTTGTTTTATGGAAAACTGAAGCTGTTCTGTATTTTATGAAAAAACAAGAACCTAAATAATCTTCCTTTGGCCTCCAGGATTAAGAATATCCAAGGCATGAGGCGGTTACATCAGACGTGACGAATCACGACGCTCAAATGTATTCCCATCTACGCTTTCAACGTTTAATGTCGGCAAGCGATTCCATAGTTCCAATGTGTTGGGAAAAAAAAGATTTTTTAATTAGGTTACTTCTGGCAAAGCATGGTCGAATCACTTTAGAGTGATTCAGTCTCGTTAATTTGTGAGCTGTTGTGCACGAGTGAATAAATTACACTTATGTGTTTGTGTCTCATCCTAGGACATAAGATAGAAGGTAACGGTCCCTTACTTTTATAGAAGGGTAATTATAACTATAATAAGTTACAATGTAACTCTATTGAGTTACAATTGAGCCTTAAGTAATTGTAAATGTAATTCGTTATTTTTTGTAGCAACGTGTACAAGTCTGGCGCACTTAAATGCGAGTGACCACCTAGCTCTTCATGGTCTACGACTCTTTCTATCCGAAGATTTCCTGTTTTTCTATGACAGAATATTTTTGGATTCGTTTTACTACGAATAAGGCACTGACGTAAACATATCGAGAAAATGAAAAGTGTCAACCATTTACCCACTGTTCAATCTTATCTGAAATCACCCAACTCCACGGTGTTATGTTATTTCAGCCTTCAGCTGCTCAGTCGAAACATCACCCGACCTGCAGTGGTGTTACACACACCAGAGGCATCCTTGCGCGGCGCCACCATTCTGGTTCAGTGACGCTACGTAACTTTCCACTTACTCGTCATTTTACTTTTATTTTTTTAAGACACGACCTGCTTTCGTTCCATCCACGCCTGCCATCGGTCGGGGTGTAAGATCCCCTAACGTCGCCGGTTCCTATACGTTATTGTACACCGAAGTGGACCACACAGGGCGCTACGAGTCATGAAAGCCATTCCAATGCCGTGTCAGTGTCACATGACATTCGAGTGGGAGCGCAGCACAACTTTCCGTTGGTTGAGGTGGTTCGTAACGTCCGCTATAGTCCATCCTACTTGGAAACAGAAAATAGTGATGTCTAGAGAAATAATCGAACCAATTGGTCGGCACAATACCCCCATTAAGGTACTACCCGGAGAAGGTAATGCAGTGCGGCGCAAATCAACCAAGTACAACTCCCTCAAGACCGAACGCGCCACAACGTTCAGTCGTTACTCGTTATGGGTAAAATCGGTCACCATCACTAATAAAAAAATAACACTCAGATTTTTGCAGAATGGTCTATGGTGTCTGGGCTTCAATGCGACCAATAACGGCAAGTAGATGCGGTGCTCGAGTGCCACCAGTCGTTGAGACATAAAACCCTGCAACGGCTGCGGTAAGCTGCTTTTGTACGAATTTTGAGTGACGGGTAAATCTTCCACATTCTTGTGGAGGGACACTAGCGACGTCAGTGCAAGTCTGGGACACACAAGAGAGTCCCGGTGAAAGGCAAGTTCCGCCTTCCCATCTTCCCTCGTGGTGGCCGGAGAGCTGTCAGGGGGACGTCAGGTTCAAGAAATGCATAGCTCTAAGTGAGACAGGCACCGGCCCTACCTGTCAAGGTTCCTAGACTGGCATTACAAACGGGACTTTAGCAACACCCACCAGGTGCCATTTGCTAATCGTTTAATACGTTTTCAAATTCTTTTTCGTGTCTTTCAACAAGAGACTGATATGTTCATTGTGATATGCTCTCTTCGAGATGTATAGACAAACAAATAATTGCCGAAATTTCATTGCAGTATCCTTGTAAAGAGCTCCTATTGCAGAATAGCCGGTGTCGGCGTCGGGGGCGAACGGGAAAATCCAGGATTGGCTGATAGGGTCATAACGTCATAGCCACATGACCCCGCGCGTGTCTCAGATGTTGTCACCATATAAAGTAATTCATTTCCCTTAAATGAATGTTTGAGAAATTTTTGGGTGGGTGAGACACGAGCCCATGGCCCTTCGATTGCAAGGCAGACAAGCTACCGACTGGGCCAAGCAGAGACTTCTTTGTTTCTTTATTGCAGGCCACGCAGGCACCCTTGGGTGGCTTGGAACGAGCGGGTTTTTTTATTCAGCTCTCGCGTTCCACTCTTAATAGGGAAGCTTAAGCCTCCTCCTGCAATGTTTTTTTTTTTTTTTGCTTCGATAGACAACTTGTTTTTTCTTTTTTTTCCTTTCAAAGAGCCCGTGCAGTGGGAATTGGGTACTACAAAACCCCAAAGTTTAAAGCGTGTTATTAATGCTGCGGCGTGGCTATATAATTCAATGCAATAAATAAATTGTGGTGCGGCTTAGTGATAAAGCGAACGTTTTACACGCAGCGGACACGGGCTCGATTCAAAAGAGGCGGGGGTGATTCTTATTTTTTGAAGGATTAGGCAACATCGCTTTACATCGCCAACCACAATATCAACAACTACTAGAGATAACTACTACTACTACTACTGCTACATCATCAGTGGACATAATTTCCAGCTGTAACAGCCCGTAACAGTTATGGCCGTAAAACACTTATAATAGTCGAACACCAACTTTCTTTTATAAAAATTAATAAAAAAAATTAAAACCTCCGTACACAAGTTTCAGGTTAAAGATTTAACTCTAGTATATGGGAAAACTTCAATAAGTTGGAATAACTTCAAAACCGTACGCGAAATGTTTAACAGGAAAATAAAACAGAAGCATAGCGTAGGCGAGACTGAACGTTTACTTGGTACGGAACCATTATTTTTAAGACGCAAAGATTTTCGACTGAGGTTCTTGTTCGCAATTTTTAATGATTTGACAGGCATTGACAAAGCAACTATACATACAATTGTCCAATTATATTTCAAATGATGAAGGTCTTTCAAGAAATACAAGAGAGTCCTTTTGTTGTCGGATGGATTATAATACATTTCATTTGTTCCACTCACAATTACTGAATTTTATTTGTGAACCAAGTTTGCTTTTATTCATGAGGACGTGGGACCACTTGTACCAGGAAGAGGTCTTGATTCTTAATGTCGCTATCTATGCTCAACGTTTACGTATTTTACTTATTGGCAGCCCCCGCTGTATATTCCAGTGTTAAGGTTTTTTTTAGCGTTGTTTTATACATGGGCTCTGCCCGGTATAATGATGCAGCTTCGGTGCTGCAGGTTTTTTATGTAAATAATATAAAGAGTAAACAAATAAGAAAAAAAATGAGGAAAACAGCTCAGAAAAGGCGGACTAGGAAAAAAGGACAAACACGACAGGACAATGCTGTATTGTTCCGTCGTGTTTGTTCTTTTTCGTAGTCCGCGTTTCCTCAGCTCTTTTTCATATCATGCATAACGTCAACCAACTGGCCCAGTCCACCCCCTTATAACAAATAAGAAAATACGCTAAAATCACCGTAAGATGCTTAAATATAAAATAGTTGCGGAAGAGTCTAAGTTTGTCATTTTATTTTAGTGATATATACAAACTTCAATAAATTAAATTTAACAAATTGTCTTTTTATATTAGTTACGTATAAAAACTCCGATAAATTAATTTTAACAAATTCACATACACTAGTTGGTGTAATTTATGCGTAAAAATAATTACGCTGTAGATGGTTGATTACTATGTCCCTCGAGCTAGCGTCTACGCGCAATAAAGAAAACTGTTCTTCTACCTCCTTTCCGAAGCCTCTTGTTTTGGCGAAAACAAAAGAAATAACTTTTCAAAAGTAAGGAAAATATATTTCCAAAGGGGGGGCATGTTTTGCTATTTGATATAAAAATGTCTTTGAAAAGAAGATGTAGACATGACAGCCCCATGGCCGTCCTTATCTGTACTCACCCGACTGCGAAACTCAGCAAACCGCGACCAAGAACAAGAGTTTATCGGGCAACATTGGCGAAACCAATTTCTTGGAACCGAAGCGTGTGATTGGATGCCGAGTCTTGGCCGAATGCCGACGCCACCCTCGTGCCCAATGCGTGCTCAGAGTACCTTCCCGAACAAAGGCAGACTCGGATAGTTGGTGCAGCAGCTATTAGATCATGCTTTCTTTTAAGAGGGTCTATTAGCGGAGGCCAGCGCGAGGACCTCATTAAACACGCACGAGTGCTGCATGCGCTCGAACTCTCACTGAGTTAACACATCTCTCCTCCTTTTATCCCAGTTCTTTCCGCATTATTTTTTTAATGTTTTATAATAAACAACCGGGAGAAGACTGAGGCTCGTGGGCAGTGTGTGCTCCGCACTGGCCTCCGAAGGTTACGTACTAAGTCCAGCACTCCCATCTATTCGGGGGCTGTCGGCATCACGCGCTGGACTTTACGGGGCGCTCTAGTTCAGCTCCATCCAAAATTGGACCCCAACAAAAACGCAAACAGGAAACTTGAATGCCTGCGCAATTCATCTCACTGGTATCGCGGAAACAGCTCTGGGAACAGCTCCGCATCGCACGGAGTTCCGGCGTTGTCACCAGGGGGCTGCGGCTCCGGGCACGTCTGCTGTGTGCACGACCTGCACAGGAATATTCGCACCTGTTAATAGTGCAGGTTGGGCGAGTTGGTAAGGCACAATTACGAGCCAGCGCACAGGTAGACAGTTACTCATAATCCAAACACACGCAAAAATACACTCACACTCGACTCACACTAGAATCGAACGAAAATAACAGCATCGTATAAGGAAGCAGATAGTACTACATTAGCCAGATGTTGCGCCCACTCGCAACAACCACATATAGAAGGTGTTTCACTAAAGACTCAGGATAAAAACAGGAATACTCGAAATAAAGTAAATATATATCTAGGCAGTCGATCGCGGCGGACATTGGTGCATGAATGACATGCGGTGATTAGGCAGCTCAATGCCTACACTGCACTAATAATCTTTAACAAAAGTTATCCTTATTTCCAAATATATAAATTGCTACTTAGTGGCGTCCAAATACACATGATAACAGTTATTATCAGTCAGAAGACGAAATTAATCTCCGCCTATTTAATAGAGAAGTAAAGCTGTAGAAGCTACTTGCGTTGTGTGTATGTTTATACAGATGGAAGGCAGCCCCAATGAGCGCCTGCGGTTTCGCTGTAGATGAGAAATGTAGCCAGTGCAGTAAGACTGCTCGCCTGAGCTCTTTTAGGCGCACTACCAAAGGTGGCCAAATTACTCATTTTTGTGATTCAGTTACGTTACTAATTGCGCTTGTAAAAACGACTGAAGTGTAATTAAATTACATCACAAATTACCCCTACACGAAAGTAATGAATTGCAATTACCAATTACACAATAAAAGTAATGCAATTACTTTCAAATTACTGTTTCACATATTTTAAAGGAGGAGCTACACAAAAAGAAACAACGCACTCTGCTCTGCATTTGCAAAGTAACAACCTTCAACCCCACATCAAGACAGTGGGTAAAAGCAAAGACAGACAAGGCGAACCAACACGCCCTCCCAAATCGAACCGACTGACTTTGGGTGTGTCTGTGTTGTGGGTCCACGTTTTTTGCGAAATACCTGCTGCGCACGCTGTCGATCGCCGGATGCGTCCGGGTTCGCATTGCCTTGCTATTGATTATTCCAGCGGGCTGTGCTTTCTTTGTGTGAACCTCGGGGCAAAATAATCTTGAAGGGGGACAAAAGCTATGCTTGGGGAAGCCTATTCTTGGTTGCCGCAACACAAACCCAGCAGGATTTAGGTGGCACGACCCTCTAGTCCGACCTAGGGTGACTTCAAGCTATGTGCATACAAAGGCACCCAATCCGACCGTCGCACGAGCCAGCGGCCACAAACGAAAACCGCATTTGTCCTTTCTTTTTCATTATTTAAAGAAGCCTCATTTTTTGCAAATGTAAGAACTGTTTTTTTTTGTTCATTTCCGGGCAAAGAGAAAAAAAAAACATGCCTGAAATATAAAAAACAAATTACGATTTTATTTACAATTACCGCCAGTAGGGTAATTCATTACACTACTAAATTACCTGCATCAAAAAGTAATGAGATACATTACACATTACTCTCAAAAGTAATCTAATTAGTGTAATTCAATTACAGTAAGTTCATTACTGACACCTTTGCGCACCACGCAGTACGACCTTGCGCCGCTACGATGCTCATCCGGATTGAAACGGGCGAGGGGGGGTTGAACCCAGGTCTGCTTTAGTTTTGTACCTCGAGCTTTCGCTCCACGTGCTCCGAGCTGCGGTGCGTAAAAACACTCGGCCACTGATCAATTTTTGCCAGTGAGGCTGCCTCGAGTCTACCTTGCATGTGAAAAGTAATAAAAAAGAAAAGCGCCACACTTTGCGCGTCAGACGGCACAGATCTGTCATATCGCCTCGCGATGTCTCGCTAACCGCACCAGCCGCGGAGGTTAATCCTGCTTCCTGGTAATACTTCCGTCGTTTCTTTTTTTTTCCCCTTATGCATTAGTTACTCGGGCAACCTTAACTACAACTGCTCTCATCCACATTATAAACAGAATATTCTCGGATATCAATTACAGGAGAAGTGAAGAGTGTGCGTGCACAGCCCTGATGGGTGGTCAAGATAATTCAGCGCACGAGCGCCCATAGCTATTTATTTATTTATTTATTCCTACACTCTCAAAGCTCTCACAGGCAATACACATGCACTGTATCGGCACAAACCGTTGTCGCACAGCATAATGTGGCAAATAGGAGGTTAACCATAATGCCAGCCAAGCGTGTCCGTCTAACTAGAGTTTTACTTGCGGCATTTCAGTTTCCTCGCGGTTTAAATTTGCCAAATAAAAACGCGGAGTAAATATTTTTGTCCGAATTTATACTCTCGCTATGGCATATTTTAGACGACGGGCAAGAAGTCTATAATGGGAATATGCCAGCTGGGGCGAATACTTGTAAGACTAATGGGGAATGTTTTTGGTACTCATTTAATTACCCATCACTTTATAATCTGACGTCTATCACGGCCCATAATGTCATCTCAGATGAACCATTTTATTCCTTTTCAGTGTCATCTTATTTGTAGCATTATCATCTCTTCCTCAAGCACCCTATTTAGTCAACTAAATCGTAAAGTTGCAGACACTCTAGCGAAGGTGTTGGCGTTTAGAAACGCTCATGTTGACTTTTGAGTTTAACGGAACAAAGGAACTATTCCCGATCTGGTCAGCCACCTGAGAACACGGTCGTTCCATTTTGCAGGGAGCAGAGAATAGGTACAATGGGGACATAGCACCGCTGTGCCACTTATTTATTACATATACTGTTGTTATATCCCTCAATCTGACAAAAGCGATCTCTGACAATAAAAAAGTGGATCAGCGGTACAATATTACTATTGTTTTTCCCGCTGTTTGTAAGCTGGCAGAACTGCATTCGAGAGTGGCGAACTCGAGCGAGAACATAACCCTTTGTTCTGTTAAACACAAAAATGAATATGCAGAGTGCGTCGGTTGACGGTATTCACAAAATACGGCTTAAAGACTGACGAGAAGTCTTTAAGCCGTATTTAAGCCGTACGAAGAAAAGTGTGAGAAACCCTCCTCATTTCTGCGGGGAGTAGCTCAGAGACCCGGTCCTGTTAAGAGATGAGGAGATAAGAGTGCGAGGGGGAATGGAGAGAAGGAAACTGGAAACCGGTTTTCTGCCCGGCAGAGGACAATTCTGCAGGTCGGCCTTTAAGTGCGGAAAAGCCTACATTGAACAAACAAGCCGCTATATAGATGACAGGCTGTCAAGACTGGTCCGCACGGATGACGGCTGGAGGCCACTTACCCCTCCACTGTACAGATTGCTGGTGTCGCTTTATCCTCGGCGAAATCACGATCATTGGAAGAGGCGAGTATCAAATGGTAGGGGAGTTACTAAAGGCTCACGCTATAAAAAGAACCTGGGGTCGATTATTCTGTCAGACAAACTTCATTCACTATGCAACAACAAAAAGTGTTTTACACAAGCGGTGATTGACTATTACCATACCTCCTACTCAGGGGGAAATCCTGCGACCTTAACGCCAGAACCGGCCGCCAGAAAGTGAGAAAAAACGACATAACATGACAGAAATGTATTTTTCTAAGCTTTACGGACTTGTTTAAGACAGCCGTGAAAGCTAAACTTATGCGGTTTGTGCAGGTAAGTTATACGGGCAGGAGACATAGTATATGGGGCTAATCGTAACAATCAGTTGTCTAATTAAGTAAAATTTGTTAATTAACTTTTTAATTAATGAAAACAGCAATATGGTTCCAATTAGAAACTTGCTGAGCGTCGTCCAAACCCCTGAAAAATCTGTAACCTTTTAGAAATACTTCGAGCGCGTGAGAAGAGCTAAAGTTACCACTCGTGGTGCAGGTACAAGGCTGGGCTCTTATAAGAAAAAGAAAAATCGCGCACCTACCCGCAACCGCTAGCTTGTACCTGCTTCACGAGTGGTAACTTTAGCGAAAAACTGCGCTTCTCACGCGCTCAACGTCTTTCTCAAAATTACTGATTTAGTGGTTTTCGACGACGCTCAGCAAGTTTCTACTTGGAACCACATGTCTATTTTCATTACTTAAAAAGTTAATTAACTATATTTACTTACTTAGCCAACTAATCATTACGATCAGCCTCCTATTCTATGCCCCACTTGCTGTATAACTCACCTGCAAAAACCGCATAAGTGCAGCTTTCACAACTTTTATATATATATAACAAACCTGTAAAGCTTAAAAAACAAAAAAACACCCTGTATAATCTAAAATAGCAGAAAAGGTATATATATATATATATATATATATATATATATATATATATATATATATATATATATATATATATATATATATATATAATTATATATATATATATATAATTCAAAATATGTTAGAAGGTATAACTAGTTTCTTCAAATAAGTCCATCCCACCTCGCATAAAGAATCAGAGAGGTCAAAAAAGTATAAGATCCGTTTCATTCCTTATACTGAAAGGGTAGCTTATTCTATTCCTGACACCTGCTGCCGCAAACAATACACCGTCCAAACAGGAAGATGTATAAATGATACACTTCGAGAACATAAACATAACATAACAAGCGACATTTCCGTACATTTAGGAATACATTGCCGAGACTGTGGATGCACAGCTGACTTAAAATATTTAAACTGATGTCTTGAGGTTACAGCACACCTGACAAGAACAAAACGCGAGGCCCACAAAGAAGAAAAATACAAAGGAGTTGTAAGTCAGCGCTTGTGTTTTGTGTCACTCGTTTTGTCCTTGTCTTGTGCGCTGTAACCTCAAGATGAATCACCGACTCGCCCAAGCTTCCGTATTAATAAACCAATAGCTAGGAGCAGTCAACAGCTCACGAGCTAAATTATTGAAGCAGAAGAAATAACGCTGCACAAGCAGCACTGCGTCAGTACCATTTCTTTAGCGTTATCAGGAAAGGAGATGGAAAATTTAGCGGGACATCTTTAGGAAGTATTTTCCTTGTATTATTTATTTATATGTATGCATCTGTATTTGTATGAATATATCTATT